CCTCAGATGTTGAAGATGGGGAAGCCTTGTTAACATTTAAGAGGTGGGAGCAAGTTAGCACGTGGCTTTCTGGGACTCAGAGAAAAATGGGTGCATGGCCCCGGCTCGCTCGCTCGCTCTCTCTCTCTCTCTCGCTCTCTCTCTCTCTGTGTGTGTGTGTGTGTGTGTGTGTGTGTGTGTGTGTGTGTGGTGTGTGTGTGGTTCCTCTGCCACATACCTGAGCTTGGACTTCTCATCCTGGTTTTGTGAGTTTTCCCCTTATAATAAATAAAAATATAATTGTTTATCTTTAATGCAGCCTGGTTATTTTCCAAATCTAGTTAGCTTCTACAATATTATGGAGGAAATAGTCTCATAGGTCAAAGAAAACATTAAATCCAACAAATCCTTAAGACAAAACCTCCAGGAAATCTGGAATATCATGAAAAGACCAAATCTAAGAATAGTAGGGATAGAAGTAGAAGAAACCCAGCTCAAAGGAACAGAAAATGTATTTAACAAAGTCATAGAAGAAAACTTTCCTAATTCAAAGAAGGTTATCCCTATTAAGGTACAAGAAGATTACAGAACACCAAATGTACTGGAACAAAAAAAAAGTTCTCTCGCCATATAATAATCAAAATGCAAAACATACAGAATAAAGAGAAAATATTAAGAGCGTCAAAGGAAAAAGGTCAAGTAACATATAAAGTCAGACCTACCCAACTTCTCAATGGAAACCATGAAAGCCAGAAGGTCCTGGTCAGATGTGCTGCAGACACTAAGAGACCACAGTTGCAAGCCCAGAGTACGATACCCAACAAAGCTTTCAATCACCATTGATGGAGAAAACAAGATATTCCATGACAAAACCAGATTTAAACAATACCTATCCACAAATCCAGCCCTACAGAAAGTACTAGAAGTAAAACTCCAATCCAAGAAAGCTAATTGCACACACAAAAACACAGGCAACAGATAATCTAACACCAGCAAACCCCAAAGAAGGAAAACCCACAAACACTATCACTGAAAAATAACAGTAATTAACAATCACTTGTCACTAATATCTCTTAGTATCAATGGACTCAATTCACCTATAAAAAGACACAGGCTAAGAGAATGGATATAAAAGCAGGATTCATCCTTCTGCTGTATACAAGTAACACACCTCAACCTCAAAGACAGACATTAACTCAGCGCAAAGTGCTGGGAAAAAGATTTTCCAGTCAAATGGACCTAAGAAACAATCGGGTGTAGCTATCCTAATATCCAACAAAATAGACTTAAAACTAAAATCAGTCAGAAGAGATGGAGAAGTACACATTATATTCATAAAAGGAACAATCCATCAAGACGAAGTCTCAATCCTGAAGATTTATGCCCCAAATACAAGAGCACCCTCATATGTAAAAGGTACATTACTAAAGCATAAATCGCACAACAAACCCCATACACTAATATTGGCAAACTTTAACACCCCATTCTCCCCAATGGATAGGTCAGCCAGACAGAAACTTAACAGACGAGTAAGAAAATGTACAGATGTCATGACTGAAATGGACTTAGCAGACATCTAGAGAACATTTCACCCAAACACAAAGGAGTATATCTTCTCGGTACCTCATGGAACCTTCTCTAAAATTGACCACATACTCGGTAACAAATCAAAGCTCACAGACACCAAAAAAAAAAAAAAGGAATAACCACCTGTATCTTATCAGGTCACCATGGTTTAACGTTAGAAATTAACAGCCGAAAAACCTACAGACTCATAGAAATTGAACCGTGCTCAATTGAACCACCCCTGGGTCAAGGAAGAAATAAAAAAAAAAAAGTTAAAGACGTCCTAGGATCCAATGAAAATGAAGGCACAACATACCCAAACCTATAGGATATGAGGAAAGTTCATAGCACTAATTGCCCACATAAAGTCTCACATTAGAGACTTAACAACACACCTGAAATCTCTAGAACAAAAAGAAGCAGACTCACCCAGGAGGAGCAGATGGCAGGAGATCATCAAATTGAGGGATGAAATAAATAAAATAAAAACAAAGAAAACAACACAAAAAATAAATAAAATAAAGAGCTGATTCTTTGAGAAAATCAACAAAATAGACAATGCCTTATCCAAACTAATCAAAAGTCAGAGAGAAAACATCCAAATTATCAAAATCAAAAATAAAATGGGAGACATAACAACAGACACCAAGGAAATCCAGAGAATCATTAGGTCATACTACCAACACCTGTACTACACAAAATTGGAAAATGTTAAAGAAACGGACAATTTTCTAGGTAGATACCGAATACCAAAATTAAATCAAGACCAGGTAAACAATTTAAATAGACCTATAACTTGCAAGGAAATAGAGGCAGTCATCAAAAGCCTCCCAACCCCCTCCCCAAAAAAAAGCCCAGGACGAGATGGGTTCAGTGCAGAATTCTACCAGAACTTCAAAGAAAAGCTAATACCTATACTCCTCAGACTGTTCCACATAATAGAAACACAAGGAACAGTGTCAAAAATTTTTATGAGGCTAGAGTTATTCTGATACCAGAACCACACGAAGAGTCAACCAAGAAAAAGAATTACAGACCAACCTCCCTCATGCAAAAATACTCACTATCTGCTGGAGGAAGTGCATCACTGAGGGCAGACTATGGCAGTTCATAGCCTTACCAGACTTCTAGTTTGTACTCTGATCCGATGTGTGAAGAGAGGTGGGTTCCAAAAGATTCCTATTCTGACCACCTGCTGCCGTGCCTCCCCCAATTTATGGACTCTCCCTCTAGAAGCAAAAGGCAAAAGAAGAAATTCCTTTTGCAGGCTGTTTCTGCTCATGTTGTTTTGTCACGGCAACCAAAGAAGACACTAACGTGGAAATTACTGCCAAAGAACAAGATACAGAGCCTGGCTGTGATTTTTACAGGAGTGTGGAAGACTTTGGAGCAGACAGGTAGCCTACCCGTGGATCTTATCCACTCTCTCAGTGTAGGCCACACACTAACCCCAGTGCCTACTACCTTCCTCATCACTGTATCCCATTCCTCAACTTGGGCAGAGATTCCCTGCTGGACCAGAAGTCATAGACATCTAGAAATCTAGGCCAAAAAGATCAAAGAGGAAACAGAAACCAAACCAAAGGGAGAAAAAAAGCATCCATCCAACAAAGACAAACTCAGAAATCACCTCCTAGACTTACTCACCCCAAACCCAGATGCCTAGATGCCAGTGTAAGAGCACAGTCAGCAACACCCAGGGCAAATGTCACCACCAGAGCCCAATTACCCTGCTACAGCAAGCTCTGAATATTCCAACACAGCCATAGCCCAAGGAAACAACCTTAAAACCAACTTTATAAAGAAGATAAAGGTCCTTAAAGAGGAAGTTAATAAATATCTTTTAAAAAATCAGAAAGACACTAACAATTGAGGGGAATAAATAAATCCCTCAAAGAAACCCAAGAAATTCAATAAAAACAGTCAAACAAGTGAAAGAAATGCTTAAAACTGTTCAAGAACTCAAAATGGAAATGGGAGCAATAAAGAAAACACAAACTGGGGAATTCTAAAAATGGAAAATAATTATTTAGATGTTAGTTGGTTACAAACTACAAGTAAACTGGAAGGGATATATCAGTCATTTTATTTCGATAAATAAAGCAAAAACGAAATTCATAGTTGAATAGCCATATTATAATGCTTAATTTTTTCAATTGTACATACTAACTATCATAGTATAAAATGATGAATTTAGCCACCAATACTCTTTCAAGAGACTTGGCTTGTGTTTGAGTAGTGTTTGTGGGGTTTTATTAAATTTTTGCTTTACATTCACCAAAAAATAAATCAAGACCCAGAGACAAAACTACAAAAGAGAGAAAAAGCACAAAGAAGATTTTCTTTAACTCTTGAATTCTAGATAAGTCTTAAGAACTCTAGCACAAGGTCAAGGGTGGATTAAAGAGAAGCGAAATCCCTATCCCAACAGTGCTCAGGGAACTGAGAGTGGAGGGGAGCTGATCTTTACAGGCATTTTGCAAGGTGTTCGTTCTTTTGAGATGTATGGGCTTTCAGCCAGATTTTTTCTATGAGTTTTTATACGCATAAAATTTTGTAAAAGGAGATGTGTGTGTGTGCATGCGTCAAAAGTGTTAAAAGAAAAATCATTCTTCCAATAAATGAATGACAAATTTTAGAGTGAATCAACCTCATGAAAAAAACATCAGTTAGTTTAGGGGTCTTTGAGCTTCAATTATTTTTGCAGAACAAAGCAATTGGATCAATCCTCAAAGAGGAAGACTAAAAAAGAACAGATCTGGCAATCGTCCAGTAATGTCTAGTGAAGGAAAAGCAACAGAGGAATATATTCAGTACTACCCATGAGAAAAAGGCAACCTTGTGTCACACAGTTTAGTGTGTCATACGCAGATTCTCTTGACCATGAACAGAATTAGTCTGCTGGGTCTAAACATAGCTAGAATCTACATATGATGGTTACAATCTTTAGAGATTAAGGAACTGAGTGATCATGTCTACAAATGTAAAACACTATATCTTAGTTATTTTTATCTAAGACGTATGAAAACCTTCCAGGTCAGTAAGGTAGCATAAGGAAGAAGTCTAAGTGCATAATCCTCAGTATGAAGGTTTTACAATTTGGAGAAATATGTGCACTGAATAGGATCTCCAGAAGCAGCTGCTTAAATGGAATGTGGCAGAAAAGGTCATTTATTAAGAATCAGCAGACATAAAAGTATATAAAAACACTGAGAGAAGAAATTAAAAATAATATATGTTCCTTCCACAAAGTCTTGAAAAATCCACATGCAGTTCCAGAGCATATATAGCTGTCAAAGAATCATCTACCAGGCAGAAGTGGCTGTGCTTTGGTACTCTGTCTCTGTCAAGGGAGACGAGTTGTCTAGAGAGCGTGTACTGACAGCCAGAGGTATTTCCTGACTGCATGTCCTGCACTAGAGCAGCAAGTTTCATTTTGACAAAGTATCTGGTCACTCTACTCTGAGGTCCGCTACAGTTAGAAATCGTATCTCCATGGGAATCCTTGTCCTCAAATGTCCCAGTCCTGTGAGTATGAAGATAATTGAGTCTTATTTTCTTTCACCCTGAAAATAAAAAGAAAAACATTTCATGTGATTTTTCTTCCCAAACTGATGATAAATGAATTGAACCAAATGAGCTGTATAAAGATGAAGCATTTGAGAAATGAAATCATATATAGAAAAGATAGCTATAAATACTAAGAAGCAATCGTTTTTGCATCTATGATGCAAAATCCTCAAAAAAACAGTGCAAAGAAAATCATTAAAGGAGCAAAACATTATTCCAAGTATTTTATAATATATTACCAATGTGAAATATCTATATTAACAGCAACAAATGCTTTCAATGTCCCAGAATTTTATTCTTTGTAAGAGCATAGGGAAAGAAAAACAGATGACAAAAGATTGATAATAGATTGCCCTTGTCATGACCAAGAGTTCATAAGCTAGGGCAGCAGAAAGACAGAAAGACATGCTAACTGATTATGGCAATAAAATGTCTCATGCTCATCTGGAAATACTCGCAATGAGGAATCACCTCAGCCACCCCAGGGCAGAGGCAAGAACAGGAAAGGCTTGTCAGGGAAGGCTCTCCCACCACCCAGAATTTTCACCGTCTATCATCTGTTGACAGATAAGCACAGGGGGCTAATGTTTTGTAAAAAAAAAAAAAGAAAGAAAGAAAGAAAGAAAGAAAGAAAGAAAGAAAGAAAGAAAGAAAGAAAATCATCCAAAAAATCTAATGCTTCCAATGTAAATATTGGCAGTGTAAAAATAAGATTCTTCTCATCCTCACAGGTAGAAGCCCACATCTGACCATCATTCCAAGGTTCCCATCACACACACACAAGTCAGAGTTAAATGAAAGTGTAGCCAACAACACTAACAAGACATTAGTAAACACACTGTGCATGAAGGTGAGTAAGAGTGTGTATACTTCTTCACAAATATTGGAGGAGAATGGAAGAAGGGAAAGAATTGGAGGGGAGAGGAGGAGAGAGAGTCTTCTAAACAAGATTGGAAGGCTTGCTCTTTTCTGAAAAAAAGCAACAGAGCAGTATGGCTCTAGGGTAAAGGGCAAGTGGGGTAAGATTGGGAGGAAGAGGAGACTGTAGTTGAGATGTATTGTATGAGAGAAGAATTAATACGATAAAAAGAAAGAAAATAAAATATTAATTATTCAGTTGTACATGTGCATTCAAGACAATGACCAAGGCCAAACGGAAAACCAACTACCAGAGAAACAGAAAAAAAAAATAAGGTAAAATTAATATGCTTCAGAAAGATTTGAGAAAATATTGCTTTCATAAATCAAAAATAGAATCCTAAGGAGAGGTTAAAATCATATTATAAAATCTGAGGAGAATGAAAGAATAACACTATAATTTAAAATGTCTAAGATGGCAAGAGCAAAAGTAAGGCAATCTCCTAGAACATAGATCAAAAAGGCGGAGACAGACAATGGGAGAAACATGCATGTAGGATTAATCCAGGGAGTTCAGCATTTATCTTAAAGGAATTCCATGGCAAGAAGATGGATATAATAAATTTTCATAGAATAAAGGATATTTCCCAGCAGTCACAAAAGACGAGGCTTCAGAAGAAAACGGACTGCAAGAAGGAGAGCAAACTCCGACTCTTCCTTATAAAATTTCAGGCAGCATCAGGGATGAAGAGTGCGTTTTTAATAATGTCTTCAAAGGAAGGGGAATAAGGCTGGTGTCTGATATCATTTCAAAAAATACTATACTTTAAAAGCAAAGAAATCAGCTTTAAGATATAAAGAAAATTCAGAATGTAACATTAGCTAAAGTATTGATCAAGAGGAAAAGCATTTTCAGGTACACAAGCAGCATGTGGGGTGAGCAGACTTGACGCCTGCCCAGAGGATGCTGGAAGGATCAACAAAAATGAAGAGGCACCAGACCGTGACCTGCAGCACACTCCTGCTTTCTATGGCAAAGGAGACAGAATTTAGAGAGAAGTGTGCACACAGTGAAGCTGCAGCTTGTGGTTTATTTTTTTTTTTTTCTGGAGACTTTATCCCCATGTGAGTTGTAGCCACAAAGGAAACTGGAAATCCCTGCTCCACCGCTGTTCTTTTAGATTATGATCTTGTTTTCATTTCCACAGAACCTCCACTCACTAGCCATGAACTTCTGCTCTAAAACATCTTGAAACTATTTAAGCTTTCATAGATTTTGAACCAAACTTTCTTTGAGAAATACCTCCTTTCCATAAAGATGGGATGCAGGTATCTCGGAAACATGCTCCTCTCTGTAATTTTCCAGTCTCAGGAAACCTTTCTCCTCACCACCATGGCCAATCAAAGCAAAACAAAATTACCGTAAATTATCTAAGTGTTGGGATGACCAAGAAAAACTGTGGATATGAAGTCCTGGCGAGATCTTGTACACAGGGCTGGGCGGGCACTGAGACCACTTCTGTATGTAAGGAGGAATCCAGGGTCATTCCAGAGAAAAAGGAATTGTGTGTGTGGTTACGGGGCACTTTTTCAGCCGCCCCTTTTCCACTTTCACTTGTTATAGTTGTCTTATCAAGCGTTAAGTGTGGGTGAAATTAGAAGACTATTTTTTTCATCCTACAAAAGAACAGACACGTGGATTTCAGTATAGTTTGGGGTTTTGTTTTGTTTTGTTTTGTTTTTATACATGCTGGCCTCTAACTATGGTTAAGAATGACCTTGAACTCCTGGTCCCCTTGCTGCTCATTCCCAGGGCTAGCATTACAGAACAACACCATCATATCTGGCTAAGCTTTGAACTGTTATAATTCCTATTACTTTGCTTTGTGAAATTACTCATGTTTGCCATGTATAACACTTCTATCATAGTCCTAGCAATATCCATATCCCACACAAAATGAGGTCATGGGATGAATTTACTGACAATAGGAACTAAGTGTCAAGGTTGGGTTGGGAATAGAAAGTTCCAGAGAACAGCAGGAACATGGGTCTATTAAGAGAATGCCATAGTCACTTTTCCACTGCTATGAAGAGATACCATGAACATGGCAACATACAGAACAGAGAGTTTAATGGAAGCTTATGGCTCCAGAGGATAAGTCTATGACCATCATGGTGGAGAGCATGGGAGCAACGGGCAGTCGTGACACTGGAAAAATAGCTGAGAGCTTACATTCTTATCTCCAAGTAGGAGGCAGAGAAAAGCTAACCAGGAATGGTGAGAGGTTTGAAAACCTCAAAACTGGTCCTGGGTTATACACGTCCTTTGACAAAGCCACATCTCCTAACAATTGACAGTTTCATCAACAGGGAATCAAGCTTTCAAATATGTGAGCCCATGGGTACTGTTCTCATTGAAAGTACTGCAGAGAGTAGAACTGCTTATCAAAACCAGGAAAATGAGAAACCCATGTAGAAGAGCCCATTTTGGGGAAAAAAAAAAAAAAACCTTCAGCTTTGTGTAAGAGACATTAACAGGCCTAATAAAAGACTTAGGAAGACTAGCCAAACCTCCCACTTCAACTTCTGCTTTCCAGAAGAGCTTCTGCCAACACAAAACCTAGCTGGAAGTCATCAGACAGAGAGATGCGGGGAAAGCTTCCCAAGGAAAGAGCAGGACCCGAAACTGCGGGAGAAAAGCTTAGCCCCACTCTTGTCCTCTATTTCCCTCGCTTCTCTACACATTCCAGGACCTGTGCACGTCTTATGTTAGAATGTGGTAAGGCATGGGGGCCACAGCTAATCCTAGCACTCAGAAGGCTAAGGCAAGGTCACTAGTTCTAGGCTAGCCTTTGACATCGCAGAGCCCAGAGACAAAACAACAAACAGAGGCAGGGAGATGACCCAGGAGTTAAAAGACACACACCACCAAAACAAGAGAACGACAGTTACGTAAACATTACAGCCTACCAGTAATTCCAACCTTGGAAGGCCTGAAAACAAGCTGGCTAGTGAGACTGGGCTACCCACTCTCCATGAGCTCTGAGTTTGACTGTGAGACCTTGCTTTAATGAGTATTGTGGAAAAGCCATACAGGAAGATTCCTGATATCATTCAACTTTAGACTACCACATGCTTTCTCATACATATGCCGTATGAACCCATATGAACACACATACACACACACATACACACACATGCACACACACAAAAAAATACATAACAAAAAATAAAAAATAAATTTTAAAAACTCTGTTTTGATTGGGGTATATAGCCAAATGGTAAAGTACTTAACTCGCTTGGGCAAGGCCCTAAGTTCATGTTTATCCCTCAAATAAAATAAACTATTCCATAACTTCTATGTAGAATTTTAAAAATCAGGCACTACTATAATCCACTGATTGTCGATATGAAGGAAAGTTCAAGAGACGTCTTTGGATCCCCCGTCAACAATTGGAACATGATTTTCAGCACTTATTGGTGGACATTTCCAGTCAAAGGAAACCGGAAGTCTGGGAATTTGAATGGCCTTAGTCAGAGGTGAGCTGACTTCATGTCGTAAATACCAGGTGCTGCCTTGGAACCGGAAGACAGACAAATGAAGGAGGAATTAAAAGTGAAGCATCTCTGGCTATTTCTCATCTTGTATTGAATGCTTCTAAAAAATGAACTGTGAGAGATACCCACTGAGGCCCCCCAGGTTATTGAAGACAGTAAATGAATGCTATCAATACTGTCTGCAAAGCAAAGAATGTAAGAAAGAACATGGGCCCCTTGCTCTGGGTGTCACCCCAAAAACAAATCAACTGGAAATGAATCTGACGCTCTGAAAGATTTTGTTCCAAATTGTCCATCACCACTTGAAAATGCTGATGTTTTAATGCTGCTTTTTCTAGTTAATTAAAAAAAAAAAAACAGGTTCAGCTTGTTTAATAGATTATGTAAAGTACATCATTTGTGACTGTTAGCAGATTTAAAAATCAAACAAGACAGTTCTCGGTGCCTTGGCTACTTCACTGCAGTTGAAATCTGAGCTTCATTAGGTAGAAACACGTGCGTCCAGGGATTCTTGTTGCTAATGTTCTGCCTCACTGTTCACTACCTGCCCTTTGCAATGAAGTAAACTAAGCATTAATTT